GGTTTAGGCCTCTGGATGACTGCAGGCAGGCCTGGATCATATCCAGGTTCCCACAAGAAGCTGGTGGAGCAGAGTGTTCCCTGACTCCTCCAGGGAAAGGAGACTCCCTTTTGCGGTCAGATAAGTAATGGGCGTCTTCCCAGACACTGGCATTACCACATGACCAAGGAGCCCTCAAGCGGACCTTATGTGGGCGTGACAGAGGGCTCACCTCTTGCCTTCTAGGTCACTTCTCACAATGTCCCTTCAGCACCTCACCCTATACCCGCCGGTTATTCTTAGGTTGTATTAGTAATGCAACAAAGAGTCATATTAAAAGCTAATGATTAATAATGTTTATAATAATGATTGATAATTATCCATGATCATCTCTATATCTAATTTGTATTCTGACTATTCTTATTCTAACTATTTTCTTTATTATACTGAAACAGTCTGTGCCTTGAGTCTCTTGCCTCAGCACTTGGGTAATCCTCCACCCACAATTCCTTGGTCTTAGACCTGCGGGCCTCAGCCTGGTCAGCCAGGAGCTTCTTGCAGGACTTGTCTGCCTTCAGCTTGTGGATGTGTTCCAGGAGAATCCGCTTGTGTTTGAACACATTCCCCTTCACCTTCAGGTACGGGCTGTGATACATGTGGCGACCAATCTTCTTAGATTCACGGTATCTTCTGAGTAGCCAGCAGAATCCTCATTCTCCTTATCCCCGTGACCTCTGGCATTCAGACGTTGGTAGTGCCCTCCCGCTTACCTATGCCCGTGTGCCTGCCCTTCCGGCTGGCCAAGGTGTTTTTCCGACATGGAGCCCGGGAACGGACCATCACAGGCTTGCGGATGATCAGCCCATCTTTGATTAGCTTTTGGATCTGCTGATGGGAGCTGGCATTGGCGATCTCACTGGTCTCACTGGGGTCCAACCAGACCTGCTTCTTGCCACAGCGGAGGACACTAGAAGCGAAACTCTTCTAAAGCCTGAGCGTACTTATGGCTGTGGCCGCAGCAGCGAAAGGAAAGAGCTGTGTTCTTTCGGATTCTTAAAATGTTCAAAATTGGCATATTAGAGTGCTTAAAAGATATGTCTGCAGATTCGAGTTTAAATGAGGTCACTGAATAATTGATTTAGAATTTTAAAGTTTCTTATTGAGATTGCAAGTAGAACCAGAACATTTAAAAAATAATGAAATAAAGCCAGGTGCGGTGGTTCACGCCTGTAATCCCAGCACTTTGGGAGGCCAAGGCGGGCAGATCACAGGGCCAGGAGATCGAGACCATCCTGGCTAACATGGTGAAACCCTGTCTCTACTAAAAATACAAAAAATTAGCCAGAC